ATCTATCTGTTTATCTATCTATCTATCTATCTATCTATCCATCTATCCATCTATCTTTCAATCGTTCCCCCATGAGACGCGTTTTCTTCAGTTTTGGTATTAGGATAATCAGCTCCGAACTTAACGTGACTACGTAACTGTCAATGGAATAACCGTTTTTCGTTAAGACAGATTTCATTGGTTGTTCTTCGCTCGCCCCTAACAAATGAGTTGTAGTCTTAGTGTCACTTTTGGCCGCTTGTACGCGACAATGATCAATAGATCAGCTGGCTCGCTAGTTCACTGATTTTTCTGGTTTGACAAAGCGCACCAGGCGATCAAGCGGCCATCTAGACCAGGGTTCACGGTAATAAGAAGGCGTTGATGAACTGTGGCCCACAACACATAGGGCTTAGAAGCACAGAATGTCCACCTCTCCACACATCAAATTTATTCCACTGAAAGGGAAAAATTTGGTCATTAAGTTACTGATGCCCCAACAAAAACAAATTGCTGGTCTTCGCAGAAACGTCCGCCACGGGCGCACGAAAAGTCATTCCCCTACATCTTGCTCCAAACCAATGACCGCCCGATAAATTTACGCGGTCCGACAAGACGCGGAGTTCAACGACTTTGGTAGTTTCCTCCGACGAGATGATCACTCCACAGCCCAGGCAGTGGACAATAGTCTCATTGCTTCGATTTTACCAGATTTGCTGGGATCTATAAAGTTACAATATTTGACCCATACAGTGTTTGAACTGACCCACCGACAGTTCGCTTTTAAATATAACGTTTGTTTGTAAACTGACGTTTACTTTACCTTTGGAATTGGCCGAATTCGCAGTTGAGCCTACGCGATCAATGCGTGTATGGTAACTTCACACGTCAGTCCTTCTTTAATAAGGTTTACTGGCAATCAACTAAGCTCAGAAGATGCAAATTTGTACCATATATATACTGAGTTGATGCGTCGGCTCTTCGAATACCATTCACTCATTTGGTATGTAGTAGCATCAGCTTATTTATTTTGCTTTCCACGTAATGCATTGCAAGCTTTGTATCAGAAGACATGAGGTTATTCCAAAAGCTAAGCGGACATCCTACTCATTCCGTCGGAAAGTAGTTTGCTTAGTGAAGTTTCGAGTCCATCGAAATTCAAAGGCCAAACATCTAAAAATAAGTGATCTGTTTCTCAGACGCTTGATTCAATGCACGTTTTTTCATCTGACGTAAATTTCATAGCCTGATAAATTCTGAGAGTGTTCGTGCCTCTTAACACGAGCTGTCTAAAATGTACATTCTTGTAGTATCGCACACGTCAGATCTAACGAGAGGCATACATAAGGAAAACTGTAATCTTTGCTCCCCTACTCTGTTTTCCTTGAGCATCGTTGTAACCCCAAGCGTAATCCCGTTACACACCCTAGAGAGACCGTTCCAAATTAAATTACTCACATGGTCCTTTGTCGAATTTAGACAGTGATTTCATGGACGTACAGCTTTGCATGTTTTTTGTTTGTAGTTTTTTTGAGCTTTGGCAAAAGACGTATGATAGACTAGAGTGATTTCAACCGTTTTGTGCTTGCTTTCTGGTTTAAACCAACCGAAGCTTACCTGTAGTCAATGAACTACAAGTCACACTAGGTGGATGAAGCACTTGGCCTGCATTCCGTCTCTGCTCAGGCTGTTGATCAACCGAATCTGCAACACGATACTGTCTCTCAGCTCAGTTGTACCCACACTCAGGGTGAGAATCAGAATAGTGGATGACCTCACAGCGGTTGCAAGAAGATTGCTGATATTCTTCATGTATGATCAGGCCTACTCCCTCCCAACCTGGTTGCTACTTTTGTTCGCACGATTTTTACTGCCAATATTTCCTCAAACGAGGCAATCAGTGACTAAAGTGAACAATGTCCAGAGTCTTGTCTCCCTGTGTTTTCACACCATACCATCACACCTTAAGGGGCGCGCAACCCACCATAACTGAATTAGTCGAAGTATGCGGTCCACTGAAAGAGCACATCTAGCCCTCAAATTAAAACCGGGGCCTCCTCGTATGCCTTGGTATATCCCACCATTAGTCACGAAGCGATTTCTCTCAGGACAACATCTCCGTGTGATATGGAATCCACTACTTGTCTCGGAACCAAAACCAAGGTTTTGCAGTGGGGAGCGACGATCGCCTAAGTGCAGAAATGTTCCGTGACTGCCTTCTGTGTACTACTTTGTCGGTGGTATTCAACAGATGTCCCATTGTGACAGATACTCATATCATTGTAGATATATCAGACATTCAAGTTTTCTGCGACCTTAAACATTTCTTTTAGGTTCCATTTTCTGGCCCGCTTTTGAGAAAGTGTAATTTTAAGGTCCGTAGGTCTCCCCTGATGGATTTTTTCTTTCAAATCACTTCCCACTTTGCTGGAAGCCTTTTGACATCATTCCATAAGCTCTTTACAGTTCCATTGGAACTGAGATGTACTCAATAGTTCGGTCACAGAGTTGTGAAGGACCTGCGGCGCTAACTAGCAGGTGCAATTCTAAGTACGCCATCGATATCTGATGACAGTCAACCACCAGATTCGTCAGTGTGAGATGCGAAAGTAGGAATACTGCTCAGTTAGTTCCATTAGCCACACAGTTGTAGCGCATTTACATCTGGAAACACCCAGACCCCTCTTCCGGCGTCACAAGTATCCAATTCGGGTGTAGGCTTATTGATTAACCAGAAGAGCATTCAGAGTAAACGGAACACGCTTTGAGCAAACACGCTTTGTGAAAACACGGCTGACAGGCACCACTGTAGAGGCCTTCACTGGTGCAGCTTATGTGCACAAATTTTATTGGAGAATCATGACAGTTGAAACTAACTGGCTTGTTTGTGCATGTTTGATTGTCTCAGCTATGGGCAGTCACATTACTCATAGCCTACAGGGACACACTACTTTGTCAATACTGTGTCACTTAACCGCAGTGCATTCGTCGCAAAATGATCATTGAACTCCGACGTCTTGCCATCGTACTTTTAAGCGTATCCATCGCCTTGATCATATGCGGTTTGGCAACTTCGCATTGGGGATGTGGTAGCCTGTTCGAAACTTGTCAGCGTTCGGACTACAAGGTCGCTGTCATTGCTGTGATTGCTCTGCTGCTTGTGGGAATCAGCTGTCTCGGGATTGTCTTCATATTGGATCTGGTCAGCCTCTGTTCAACTGACATTCATACTCATTCCGGCTATATCACCACTCGTTTCATTTTTCTCTATGTGGGTGCTGTTGCCCTCGTCCTCGCGGTGCTCGTGTTTACGGGCACAGTCGGGCATGAATGGTCTTATTTTGTCACCACTGTGGGCTGCGTGTTGGCTACACAAGTTGCCATTCTGGCTGCCGTCTCATCACGATGTGTAACGGTCCAACATCATCATCGTCGGGTAAGAACATAGTTTCCGGGGAACTGTCGTTCGATTTATGATGACCGTGTGACATAAGGTATTTGACAAAAGCGCAATTTATTGCTAATATAAACCATATGTATGCTGGATGTGTAGAAAATTACACCCGTTATGCTTGAATCTTAGACTGTTTCGCCCTGTTTTGGGGGATGTAATCTCTTGACTTGATTTACAGGATAAAAGCAATGTGGAATGTCCCATGCTGGAGCTGGGAGACCATTAGTATCAGTTTCAACGCGATCGCACTCTGAGGTAAAGCAGTATACAAGGTGAAATACGACCGGATTCATTATAATTCTTGGTGTTCTGAAGTTTGGATGTCTCTGAGTTTAATATGGAAAATGGATTTGATCAGCTCGTATTTGTTACGAGAAATCTGGCTTTATAAATATCAGTCAGATGTAGTCGGTCGGGTGTGTCCAGCGTATACAGTGGATTAGGAGTGATGTGTAAACGTCACTAAAAATGTCTTGAGTTACGATCAACGTCAGGCTGAGGATACACCCTTTGGGTCAGATCGCAAAACCGAAAAACTCGAATCCAGCTATCGTCATGCTGGCAGACCGAAAAAATCGCCCTGGGGAGAGTTTTGGAGTCGTTCGAGTTGGTGATATAAACACGTGGTTGAAATCCATTCTAGTGGACTAGGCATTCATGCTGCGGTCGTCTGATGGATCAACTTTGTCGGTGACACAGAGATACACCAGTGTGCGTCAGAACTCTGAACAGTTACTTGAGCGACCAACACTTTTGAACTCATCTTATCCTTGTGGAGACTGTTTTACTTGTCCAGAAATCAGAATGACCAAATATGGCAGAGTGATACAAATGTGCAGAGACAGAGTGATTCACTTTCCAATAGGCATCCCACTGATCGTTCACTCCGTTTGGAACGTCCTATTCCTCTGTGAGTATCGCATGGAAACGGTCAGGTTTAAACCGAGGCACCAACTGATTACCATTGTTTCCAGCGAAACAGAAATAGTGAAGTGCCTTGCTTAGCTGATGGAATTTCCTCGCTGACATCAAGTAGTGGGGACTTAAGGTGACTGTCAATAACCTTTGTGGATATAGCTAGGTTTGGCTAAGGTCTCGAACAACTTCAATGCAGAAGCAGACTAGATGGAACTAAAATGAAAAAAAGAACCTGATTTGATGCCAACCAAAGTGAGGGAACAACACTAAGCTGTCTAGTATTTGACAACCACTGGATGATGACGGTCTTAACTTTGGTAGGTTTAGTATTTATTCAAAGGCAGAAGAATGGCCCGTTATTGTAATGTTGTTATTTTATATAGCCTAATATACTGTGGCTGCAGGCGAAGAAGTAGAAAGGACAACGCATTCGTTGAGTTGAGTATTTCTTGAGTTGCTGATCGTCTGTTTGGTGAATTTCGTCTCGTTTCACACACAGCCACTGTCCATAGTTTAGAGAAGTGACGAAGTATTTTCCCCATATAAGATGGTATGGTAGATCAGATAAAAAAAACCCTTGTTGCTCACAGGAAGTGCACATTTTCCGTTTTTGAATTATGTGGTTGTTAACTGGATACATCAGCAAGCCCATGGGCACTGGAACAGGTGTGAACCTTTTCACACTCATTTCGCCGAAATAATGATGTCTGTCCCAGCGATGTTTATCCAAAACCACTCCGATTTTCCAGAACCTTTCGTTTCTACCACAACATCCGTTAGTGTGAATTGGCGGGTTACAATATCTGACACACCAGGTCCATGCTCACAATATGCTTTTCCTCTTTGTGGAGATCAGCTCTCCGAAGAGACCAAGTTCGGTGGGTCTCTTGAATCTTAACTGAACGGTAATATTCGTCTTAGCCGAAATCACACCCTCCTTGCCAGCCACGACACAAATACATAGTTGAGACCATTGCCAGGTTCAACCGGAGCTGAATTCGCGCAACCGTTAAACGAGCAAATGATATACCCCTAATGAATGGAGGGAATTTGCCTCTAGATGAAGGGGAAAGTTTCGAAATCGTGGGTACTGATAACACTGTACGCGATAAAGTTTTAGGAATCACACAAAGAGCGGATGTCTTGTGACGGTTTAAGTGTGCTCCGGAGAAGCCGTTTAGGTCTTTGGAGAACCCCCATTTTTCTAACCCTGTGTAGTATAAGTGTACATCGATCACAAGTGGCCTCTTCTGGAGATTCCGGAACTGATTCAAGTAGGATCCAAGCCACGAGCAAGCCAGGTTGCATAACAAATCTCTGTTTTCTATGATGTTAGAAGAATAAATGCATGTTGTCATGTATGTCATACATGAAATCAAAAACTTACGATTCATCATCTCGTACGACTCTACGAGAGCAACACATCGTGTCTCAATTACCTAAGCGCAAGCATATACACTTGGTTGATGATGATGTGAGGAGATTTGATAATTTTCCTGTAAGTGAAACTGAAGAATCAAGGCTTACTGTACATCCGTTTCGTTTTCATTGAGAGTGATCAGAAGTACAGTTCGCATGAAAACTTCATGGAGTCTAGATCCCGCTGCCTCAACGCTGGAAATCTGTACACCTAACTCTTCCACAACGATTTGTTGATCAGTCTATGACTAAATCACACGTAGACAGAATATGGCGCCACTCATCGTTCAGGCACGGAATCCAAATCACGTGATTATGCGCTGACTGACTCATCGAGTGCCAGCTTCTCAGATGGAAGTTTCATCGGTCTTGGGAATTATTCTTCCTCTACCCCTACACCCTCGGTGTGACATTTGGACTTCTGTAGAGAGTTTATGGTAACGTCAGCGATTTATATGCGCTGTATAGAAAGTGCGTGTGTTTGTAAGAGCGGCCACCAATGCTATCTATGAAATCTATACCTCGCGTACAGTTTGCATGGAAAATAGATAAAGATACCAGGGAGACAACAAATCCAAAATTCTTCGAACTGGTACTCAGTACTGCATTAGACGAGAGGTGCCAGCGTGTAGTATGCCAAAAGATTGGAAGCTTGGGGTTTATTGCCTGTTGATTGGTTGTATTTTGGTCCGCTCACCCAACTTGCCGTCGTTTCGTCACCAACCGAGGAGAAATCGTCAGTTCATATTTGAGTGGGTACTTCTCTTTACCTGATTGCCTTCATATAGCATTCGAAGACTTTGTTTTCTCTCAATGGAATGCCTAATGGTGGGATATGAGGAAATATCTGTTTTGATCTGCAGTAGGCGGGATCTCGACAAGGCTGCCTTTTAAGCACTTTTCTTTGCCAAAAACTTCATCAAGCCAACCAAAAATGATTCCCCTGCAAGGTAAGAGTGTTTCTTGAGGGGGGAGCAATCTTTACACTGGGAAGATACTGAATATCCATGGGGTGGATTTATTCGACAAAACTATAGATTTATTTATGACCCGCATAGATATCTATCAGGCCAACTCATGTTCAAATTTCTAAATTTGTTCAGGATGATCAAGGTATTCTTAATAAAAAGAACGTTTCGAACAAGCACACAAAACACACAACAACATAGCAGTCAGTTTAACTTAAGTTCTTGGTACAATGTATAGAAGTTTTGCAGCGTTTTCAGAAGAATGACATTGTATTTTCCTTGAAAAAAATGTCGTTGCACTTGATGGAACTGTAAATTTAAAATTTTGGGTCACGGGCGGATTTTAGTACTCATAGTAGTGTCTAGCGGTCCGTCGATGCGATTAGAGGCCCGGATGTTCACAAAATTTTCCGTTTTCCTATAGAGGAAAATGTTAGTAGCTCAGGTAGCGTGGATGGACATTGACTTGTTCGCTGAGCCAGTCAATTTGATTGCAAACGTTTCATCACCAGTCGGGTCGACATCATCAGTGCATTAGTAAGCGGCATAATGCGTAGAGATGGACTGGTGGACGTACCTTGGTTAGTGTTGCGTGAGTATTAATAAACGTGCTACTGGTCGGGGCTTACCTTAGGTCACGATTAGTCGATCGGTTAGGCGGTTCCATTAGCTTCTATGTTATCAGGACACAGGTTAACAGAGTAACCTATGGAACCGCCCGACCGAACAACTAATCGTGATCAAAGATGGACCCCAGCTAGCACAACGTACATTAAGACACACAAAAGTAGTCAACGCATGACCACCGACCCATCACTACCCGCGACTAAGCACCCTAACAACGCGCTGATGACGTCACCCCAATTGGAAATGAACCGTTTTCAATCAAATCGCCCAGCTCAGCTAACAAGCCAACAACTTTGCTTTATACGGGATTGATACACTTCACAGAAGACTATTGTGTCCCGGGTAAGTTGGCGAAAGGCGCCACAACAAGATAATTCACCCAAGCTGCTGACTTCGTGAAGGAATGACTATCTTTTATGGGAGAGTCCGCTCACTGCGACCTACCTATTATTCTCCCCCCGTGAAGTATTCCGTACTTGACATGATTCATACAAGAAAACGATCAGCAATGGCATATAAACACCGTCTAAGTACCGCGTAAATTGCTCACTTGTAGTTTAATAATTCTGTCCTATTCACAAAATCCAGGGCTTGAAATTTTCTATCAACAAACGAAGAATCCACCAAGCTAGGGAAATGCACCGTTTGCATACGCCTAGTGTTATAGACGACCTTCTCAAGACCTTACAGAGATCATGGAATGTGCATAATTTGGCCGGTACCAGGGGAGTCTCATTATCACGTATACAGTTCGTTAGTAATCTACTCGAGCTTGTGGAATTCATTGGTCAATGTGAGTTGGTTTTTTAGAACCAGTAATAACTGAGTTAAACCTTTAAAAATAAGCTGTGTAACGTTGACTAGTCCGTCTTGCCAACATTACTTATGTTGTATCTGACTGCTCCAGTGGCTAGTGCCGGAAGAAGACCTGCCAATAAGGAACACAACAAATTTATTGACAACAAGGGAGTGCAAGGTTGAGAGTATGAAAATGCAAAGGCCTCAAGTTATTTTATTGAGAAGAGACTGTCTGACTAGATCCAACGCTGACTCGCGCTGCCT